TCAGATAAAAGTATATATTAATTTAGTATTTCTTTCCTCTTCATTTCTCTTGCTTTTATGTAAAATTAAGAATCCAAAAAAATAATTTTAGAAAATACACAAACAAAGTTCTGGCAAATTTGAATGACTCTTCTGGTTAGACTCTTAGATGAATTATTGTCAATTATTATTCATTTTCACTAGTATTTCTTTCATCTTTTGCTTCTCTTACTTTTTAAAAAGCCTGCCATCCATAAAAGTAGAATAAATATATACTATATTTTCTGTATTTGAATGACTTGAATATGGTTAGCCTTCGTAGATGAAGCATTGTCATTCATTTTTATTTCATTTTTCATCTTATTTCTTTCATCTTTGATTTTCCAGTTTTGCTTTTTATTAAATATTTTCCATAAGAAGCCTGCTACAAGTAGAATCTTAAATATTATTTATTTTTCACATGGCTAAATTTGAATGTTCTCGTGTAAAGTAACTATGAAAAATATGTTGCATAGATATTAGCCTTTCCATGACTCCTGTTTTATTTTTTGTTTTTTTTTTATTTTCATTTTTATATTTTTTATTCAAAATAATAATCAGACGACCATTAAACAGAATTTTAGAAAATCTCACAATCAATGAACTTGATTCGAAAAGTAGGATGTCTTAAATCGATGAACATTTAAAATATGTTATGGTAATTGTGGAATGGTTTTGGTTAGAGGCGAAATACGAAGACATAAAATGTGGTGAGAGTCTGATCATGATTAATGGTCGAATTTTTCACGATGCAAACGTAAATAAAAAATGTGTATATCCCATCAATATTTTTAAGGGATGATGACGCGAATGTTAAAAACATTAATATGATGAAGAAGAACGGGAAGAAGAAAAAAAACGAGAGCGTTCGATGTTTTGGCGGGAAACGATCAAATTATATTTGAAATGTAAATTCTTCAGTTTCGTTTCGATTTTTTGTAATAAAGGATCCAAAAAATTTTTTTCTTTTTAACGTCAAAAATATTTTAAGTATGAGAGATGACTGTGTTCAAAAAAAACGAACACACGCGAACACACACACACACACACACACACACACACACACATATATATATATATATATATATATATAGAGAGAGAGAAAGAAATATAGTTATCAGGTGTATATATATTTATGGGATAAAGTGTTCAGTATCAGAGATAGAGCGTATGTAAATAAAAAGTGAACATTGAAGTTTACACTCAGAGACGACAGGATTCAAATTTAATTAACATTAGATACTTATATATATATATATATATATATATATATATATATATATATATATATATATATGATGGTGCTTAATATTAAAAGTTATTTTCTTCTGTAAATGTCAGTCTCCAGATTTTTTATCTACTTATATGTGTATTTCAGTTGTTCGTATCTATCTATCTATCTATCTATCTATATATATATATATATATATATATATGAAAAAATATAGTTTTAAGCTGTGGTATATTTATGTGATAAAGTGCTCAATATCAGAGATTGAGCATATGTAAATATAAATATAAAAGTGAACATTGAAGTCAACACTCAGAGGCGACAGGCTGTTTCATGCTAGACGCAATCGTCCATTATATATATATATATATATATATATATATGTGTGTGTGTGTGTGTTGTGTGTGTGTGTGTTGTTTGTGTGATTTAATAGTTTATTTTTATTATTAAGAACAATATTGGGAAAATTTTTATGACAAAGCGGAAAAATTTTATTTATGACGCGTTTCATCCTTCGTGACTTCATCGGACTAAATTTGTTATTGTTATATTCCATGCTAAGAGGAATGTGGAATGGACAAACATGGTGGATAAATATATATATAGGTTTCCCCATAGATATATATAAGCAAATAAACAATAGTTTTTAATTTTATTTTATTATAAAGTCAGTAGAGTTTTGTGCGTGCAGCTTACGAACGTAATTTCGCAGATCCCAGCTTTTTTTATTTAGTAACTTATCCATTACAGTCACATATAAACAAGGCAGAATTTAATGTCAGTTTAATAAATTATAATTACTCGCCCAAAAATCCCCGTAGACCCCGCATAAACGAGATCAGTTCTGTCTACCTCCCCGGACGAAACTCTGCCCTTCGGCATAGCCTCGTCCGGGTTCCTCAATTACTAAAGCATAGAATACTACGCAGGTGGGAAATATCCCAGCTCGACCCTCCTGTCCGCTGTTATAACGGATGTTCTATATCGTGGTTACCACCTTTTTTATGGGCCACTCATGGGGGTGACAGGTTATTCCAGCACATCAGTTATGTTGGTACGACTACAGAAGCGCACGACAGATGGCTATTGGAAATGTTAGAATTTTTTATCTAGACGAATTCGTTTACAGTCTTTTTCTTTTTCTTTCCATCCCCTTTCTAAGTATATTCCTCAATGTGATATTAGAAGATCTGCTAAGAATGTTGAAATGCTTTAAGAGTCAGGAAGTTTTGTACTGAATTGGTTTTTCCTTTGATCCAAGTAACATTATTTATGTCAAAATTGTGGTCATTCTCGTTACGGTAGAAAACCCACGCAGTTGGCATATTGTTTTGTAAAATGTCCATTTTGTGTTCATATAATCTTTTACCTAGATCCCTTGAGGTTCCTCCTATGTAATTTCGGGGCAATTATTAAAGGCGATGGTTTAAACTCCAACTTCAGGTTTCAGCTTATTGCTTTTTTTTAGTAATGACTAAGTCTTGTACTGTGAAAGAAATTTATTCCACTGTGTCATACATTTTCCGCCAATATTTTATTTTTGATATATATATATATATATATATATATATATATATATATATATATATATATATATAATCATTTTATATCTGTATAATGGAAACTCAAGAAGGATAAAATCAGAGAGCAATGTAAATAATTTAAAAAGGCTGTGGTGAAATAATTTATTACATGGAACCTTAAAATTGTCTGTTTTATTTAAATTATATATATATATATATATATATATATATATATATATATATATATATATATATATATATATTGCTATTAAATTTCAGGTTTCGAACATCAAAGAAGCAATAGGAAGTCTAGCCACACTGAAGATCTGTGAAACAGTCTGTCTGTGGATGACTCCTTCTCTCTCTCTCTCTCTCTCTCTAAATATATATCTATATGCATATATATATATATATATATATATATTTAAATTGATAAATAAATTCATTACTTCTTATGACGCAGAACTAAATTTGTTATATTTGTATGACCACGCATGCGCACGAACGTGAGATACTAGGGATTTTAGAAATTTTTTTTGATTTTTTAATATCTACCCAAATTCATTCAGTGTCTTTTTCTTCTTCTTTCGATCTCTTGCGTCAATGTGTGTCCCACAATTTGTCATTAGAAGATCCTGCCAGGAATGGTGAAATGTTGTAAGAGCCAGGGAGCAAATATACTGGGGATAACTTTGAGATTAATGCACTCTCTGTCTCTCTTCATATATATATATATATATATATAATAACTATACACGTTTCGAAAAACCTTCGAATTTTTGATTTGCCAATAATCAAATCAATCTCGAAGGAAAAAAAATGATCCGCTTAGGTGAAACCTGGGTAGGTTTGCCTGCTCACTAGGTTTATCTATTTATCTATCTATATATATATATATATAATCCCCGCTTTAATTCGGAATACAGAATTTAAGCCAAGACAAAAATGCCGTTGAAGCGCGCTTACACTCACCATTTAGCGTTGATCCCTATGTCTACACATTTTATGTCTATAATCGACCTACCACCGGTATTTTCACTTATAAATATAGAAAATATTCAACATAATCACTTGATAAGACACCCAAAGTGTTGAAACAAAATGGCTATTTTTCAAGTGATTTTATAACATATTTATGTTAATGGTTTTAAATAAATAATTAATTTTTAAATAAATAATTATATTCGTTCTACTCTGTATTGAGCAATCTTATAACAATAGTAATTGTTGGTGATGGGAATTTATTCCGTATACATGTAATCATGCATTCGATATATATATATATATATATATATATATATATATATATATATATATATTTATATACATCGGGTATTGTTTTATTACCACCAGTCATCAAGTTTTTCTTAACATTTTACATTAATACATATATATATATATATATATATATATATATATATATATATATATATATATATATATATATATATGTTTTGTTAAGGACGTCTGATATTTATATATATAAATATTGGGCTTTTCCTTTATTTATTCTCCTCTTAATACAAGTCTACAATTTTTTTAAATATGTCACGAACATTTACCCCGCCAATTTTCCTATATATATAAATATATATTATATATATATAATACACTATTATTTTTTTTTTTTTTCTAACGGTATTTTATATTAAAATAAATATTTATATATAAATATATTCAATATATAAATAAATAAAATATATATATATATATATATATATATATATATATATACACTCATCATATACACATACACATATATATCTGTATAATCTATTATATATAATCTGTTTGAATATATCTATCTATCTGTTTCGCTCATCCTTCATCTATCTATCTATTAAATATCTATCTGTTTGAATCTTTTTTTATCTAAACAGATTTACTATCTCTATCAAATTGTATCTATAAAAGTAATATTGTCTATTGAGACCATTTCTTAATATATGTATATATATATATATATATATATCTATATATATATATCTATTAATTGGTCATCTATCTATCTATCTATCTATCTTACCTGGACATATATATATATATATATATATCCTTATATCTATATTTGTATCTATTGTATAATCCACTGTAGGCTTATATATATATATATATATCATATATATAATATATAAATATATTTATTGTTAGAACGTCTGAATTTTTACTATTTTTTTTTAATACAACAGGTGTGTCGTTTATTTTTTTGAACAGGTGTTTTAAAACAAATGTTTCATGTTCAACAAATAAAAATTTCACGATCTATCTATCTATCTATCTATCTGTTTGAATCTATCTATCTGTTTCATTCTAAATGGAAATCTATCGGTCATCTATCCTATTTTATTTTTGAATCTATCTTTTATAAAATCTATCTATACCATAAACATGTTTATATCTATCTATCCATCTATCTATCTATCTATCTATCTGTCTGTTTCCTATCCTCATCTTCTCTATCTTCTATCAAAGGGTTAAAGAATTGGATCTATCTATCTAATAAAATAATCATTATGATAGAGGAAAAGGTGTGAAGATGTTTAGGGTTCAACAAATAAAAAATCAAGGCTGTCTGGAATAAACTTTTCCCCAAACAGGCAGGAACACTGTACCCAAAGGGTTAAAGAGATTGGACATTGCATTTGAATATTTGTTTAATAAAAGTTATCGAGGGACATTGCAAATATTTAATGATTGTTTATCAGGAAATATTTAATCCACAGACGGGAAGTGCGAGACATGAAGCTATTGGAGTAGAAGAACCGTTTCGACAGTGAAAGGTTGGGATTGAGATGCCGACCCACTGGCACGTTTAAGCTCGTGCAGTTTGGAAACCAGCGAAAGTAGCTCGTCGGATCTGTTATCGTGAAAATATTTGTAGAAAAGGCAGAGGGAAGCGACGGCAAGTCTGTGAGAGAGCGACTGTAGATGAGATGCCAGATCAGGACCAACCACATTGCTTATCCGTCTCTGGATTTTGTCGAGGGCCCTAAGACGAAGAACGGAGGCAGCAGACCATATATGACAGCAATACTCTATGCAAGGACGAATGGTTGATTTATAGATTTGAAGGATGAAGTCGGACAAGGAAAACTTTCTGACGCGACACAGAGAACAAACTTTCCTTCCGGTAAATGAAGCTATTGATTCAATGTAATTGTTCCGTCAACAGTCTATTTGTCTGATCACATCTATCTATCTATCTATCTATCTATCTATCTATCTATCTATCTATCTATCTATCTGTGTCTGTTTTATATCTACACCTTTCATATCTATTTTATCTAATCTATCTATCTATCTATCTATCTATCTATCTATCTATCTATCTATCTATCTAAATCTATTTTATATCTACACCTATTCATATCTATTCTATATCTATCTATATCAATTTATATCTGCAATTATTCTATATCTATACTGTATATCTATCTATATCTATCTACTGAATGTCTATCTATCTATCTATCTATCTATCTATCTATCTATCTAAATCTGTTTATATCTGTCTGATCTGTTTATCAGTCTATCTATCTATATATCTATCGCAGCCCTTTCTTCAGCTATCTATCTATCTATCTATCTATCTGAGTCTGTTTATATCTACACCTATTCATATCTATTCTATATCTAATCACAACAGACTGTATATCTATCTATATGTCTATCTGATCACATCTATCTATCTATCTATCTGATCTATCTATCTATCTATCTAAATCTGTTTATATCTGTCTGATCACATCAGTCTATCTATCTATCTATCTATCGCAGCCCTTTCTTCAGCTATCTATCTATCTATCTATCTGAGTCTGTTTATATCTACACCTATTCATATCTATTCTATATCTAATCACAACAGACTGTATATCTATCTATATGTCTATCTGATCACATCTATCTATCTATCTATCTATCTATCTATCTATCTATCTAAATCTGTTTATATCTGTCTGATCACATCAGTCTATCTATCTATCTATCTATCTATCGCAGCCCTTTCTTCAGCTATCTATCTATCTATCTATCTGAGTCTGTTTATATCTACACCTATTCATATCTATTCTATATCTAATCACAACAGACTGTATATCTATCTATATGTCTATCTGATCACATCTATCTATCTATCTATCTATCTAAATCTGTTTATATCTGTCTGATCACATCAGTCTATCTATATATCTATCGCAGCCCTTTCTTCAGCTATCTATCTATCTATCTATCTGAGTCTGTTTATATCTACACCTATTCATATCTATTCTATATCTAATCACAACAGACTGTATATCTATCTATCTATCTATCTATCTATCTATCTATCTATCTATCTATCTATCTAAATCTGTTTATATCTATCTATCTATCAGTCTATCTATCTATCTATCTATCTATCTATCTATCTATCAATCTGTATCTTCTATCTATCTATCTCTATCTATCTGATCTAAGTTTATATCTATCCTATTCATATCTATTCTATATCTAATCACAACAGACTGTATATCTATCTATATCTATCTGATCACATCTATCTATCTATCTATCTATCTATCTAGTCTGTTTATATATGTCTTATCCATCAGTCTATCTATCTATCTATCTATTCTATTTCTTCAATCTATCTATCTATCTATCTGAGTCTGTTTATCTATTATTCATATCTATTCTATATCTAATCACAACAGACTGTATATCTATCTATATATCTATCTATCTATCTATCTATCTATCTATCTTATATCTGTCTAATCTGTCTGTTTACATCTGTTTATATCTATCTATCTATCTATCTATCATGGCCCTTTCTTCATCTATCTATCTATCTATCTATCTATCTATATCTGTTTATATCTACACCTATTTTATCTATTCTATATCTGTTTCATCAGAATGTATATCTATCTATCTATCTATGATCACATCTATCTATCTATCTATCTATCTAAATCTGTTTATATCTGTCTAATCACATCTGTCTCATCTATCTATCTATCTATCTATCTAAATCTGTTTATGTATCTGTCTATCACATCAGTATCTGTCTATATCTATCTATCTATCTATTTATATCTGTCTATTCAAATCTATCTATCTATCTATCTGAGTATCTTTATATCTGTCTATCAGTCATCTATCTATCTATCTATCTATCTATCTAAATCTGTTTTATATCTGTCTGATCACATCAGTCTATCTATCTATCTAAGTCTGTTTATATCTGTTTCTTCTATCTATCTAAAATCTGTTTATATCTGTTTTCTATCCTTCTCTATCTATATCTAATCATCTATCTAAATCTATCTATATCTATCTATCTATCTATCTATCTATCTATCTATCTATCTATCTATCTATCTATCTATCTATCTATCTGTCTGTTTATATGCAATCTCTATCTATCTATCTATCTATCTAAATCTGTTTATATCTATCCATCTATCTATCTATCTAAATCTATTTATATCTGTCTGATTATATCATCATCATATCTATCTATCTATCCTATCTAAGTCTGTTTATTCTGTCTATCACATCAGTCATATCTATCTATCTATCTATCTATCTAATCTGTTTATATCTGTCTGATCACTATCTATCTATCTATCTAATGTTTATATCTATCTATCTAAATATCTATCTATCTATCTATATCTCTAAATCTATCTATCTATCTATCTAAATCTGATCTATCTATCTATCTATCTATCTATCTATCTATCTAAATCTGTTTATATCTGTCTGATCACATCTATCTATCTATCTATCTATCTAAGTCTGTTTATATCTGTCTGATCACATCAGTCTATCTATCTATCTATCTATCTATCTAAATCTGTTTATATCTGTCTCCATTCTATCTATCTATCTATCTATCTAAGTCTATTTATATCTGTCTGATCATCTATCTATCTATCTATCTGTTCTATCTAAATCTGTTTATATCTATCTATCTATCTATCTATCTATCTATCTAAGTCTGTTTATATCTGTCTGATCACATCAGTCTATCTATCTATCTATCTATCTAAATCTGTTTATATCTGTCTGATCACATCTATCTATCTATCTATCTATCTAAGTCTGTTTATATCTGTCTGATCACATCTATCTATCTATCTATCTAAATCTGTTTATATCTGTCTGATCACATCTATCTATCTATCTATCTATCTATCTATCTAAATCTGTTTATATCTGTCTGATCACATCAGTCTATCTATCTATCTATCTATCTAAATCTGTTTATATCTGTCTGATCACATCTATCTATCTATCTATCTATCTATCTATCTGTCTATTTACATCTATCTATCATCTATCTATCTATCTTTCTATCTATCTATCTATCTATCTGTTTATCTGATCACATCTAAGTTCTATCTTCTATCTATATCTATCTATCTAAGTCTGTTTATATATCTGTCTATCCAATGTCTATCTATCCCTATCTAAGTCTATTTATCTATCTATCAATCTATCTATCTATCTATTTATCATCTGTTTATATTTGTTTATCTATCTATCTATCTATCTAAGTCTGTTTATATCTGTCTGATCACATCTATGAAACCATCTATCTATCTATCTAAATCTGTTTATATCTGACCATTATATAATATGTGTGTGTTTATTTGATGTATATATATATATATATGATATATATATATATTATTTTATTTAGTTATATATATATATATATATATATATAATTATTTATATATAAATGATATAACATACTCATCAGAAGTATTCTTTCTTTGTAAAATAAATTCATCACCAATATGTTTATTTGAATTAAATTTTGGCAATTTCTAAGTAAATTCTTCTCAAAAAGATGTTTGCTTTTTTCATTTGTTCTAATTATCCCTCCCAAATTAAATATATATATATAACTTTTTATTATATATATATATAAGTACAAAATATTAGCTTTCTAAAAGAACCTTGAATTATTTATCAACGAGTGAAACAGATTCTGTTCATATCTATCTATCTATTTCTATCTATCACCTTTATATCTATCTATCTATCTATCTATCAAGCAGTCCTTTTCATATATCATAGCCTTAAACTGTATCTTTATCATATATATATATATATATATATATATTTAAATTAATTGATTTAAAATATAGTTTTTTATAAGTACATATAGTTCAAACGTAATCAAAATATGTGAAAACTTGAATTTATATTTCGTCGTCACAAAATAAAAGCATTAGTTCATTTCATCTTCAGCGTTCATCTTGAAGATGAACTCCCCTCGGTGTTGCACGCAAAATCCTCTCTCAGGTTTTAACACACATGCTGTATTCGACTATCTATATAACAAATCAATATTGATAGATATATTCGCCGTTAATAATAAAAAAATGCCTCAATTTAATTTTTTAAAAACATACCAGATTTTAAACGGAAGGAGCTTTCTTTTATATAAGGTACTCTTCTTGCCCAACTGACCAATAGAAGTAAAAAAGAAGAAAAATATTAAAAAACATACAACAGTAAAACACATTAACATCAAATCCATAAAACAACAGTAGTACTTATGCCCATCCCTCAAAATAATGAAATCCATATATATACTATATACAGACTTGGTATTACCCAAATATATTTGTTAAATATATATATATATATAAAAAAAAAACAAACATAATTTTCCGGGTATAATTTTTTCCCATTGGACCGTAAATAAATTAAAATTTCAGACCAAAAATTTCAAAAAAAAAGAATTTAGAGATTAAGGAAGGAGGAGGAGATTAAATTTACCCCTTTTGTATACCCCTCTTTTGGGCATTAGTGCTATGTTCTTTTTAAATTTTATTTTTTAAAAAAATTTTGTAGGGGTTTTATATTTTTTGATTTTTGTATATTCCCCTATTTTATATATATATATATATATATATATATATATATATATATATATATATATATATATATATATATATATATCCCTTTAGATCCTCATTTAAATTTTCCTTCCCCTCATTTTTTAAATTTCTTATATGAAAAGCCCCCTCTTTAAAATTTCATTTTTTGATTTTTTTAAAAAAATTCTCTTTTATTTCTTTTTCCCCCTCCCCCCCCCCCCCAAAACACAC